TTTAGACAGGTCAGGTCAGGTCAAATGTATATTTAATTCAGATCAATTTTATGTCTGACCTAACCTGACCTTATCAGATCAGGTCAAGTCAATTATCTGATCTGACCCAATCTGTTCAGAGCTCTATTATACATAGCAAATGTGAGGGTGTTTCTATTTAAAATAAAATTTCTATCATCACTATGTGTATTTTTTTAGATCGTTATCTATAATGAGAGTGAGTTGGTCATGTGATAAAAGTAAATTATGAGAAGGGGAAGCATTATTATTTATTGGTGGAAGGTGATTATTTATTGATATCTGTATTTATGGAAGACAGATTAGGAATTAAAATATTGTTTGTTATATTAATCATTAATGAATGTAAAGAAGGGGTATATTTAATTATGAGAAGTGTTTGTATTGAGCGCAAACTATTCAATTTGTTTGAACATTAAATCCATCTGTCTTTTTTGCTTAATTATAATAGCTGCTTGTTTATTAACCATATTAATTAGGTCAGGTTTTGGAATCAAAATTTATGAAGTTAATGATTCATCACTTGAGGAGCTAGCAATATGAAATCTTTTGTTGGATGTATCTTACGATCTTGAAATTGATAGAAAAGTTGGTGTAATAATTACAGGTTCTCTTTCTTTATTGACAACAGGTGATGGGATCTCATGGATCTTGATATGAGAAGAAGCTTGAAAGGTCTCTAATTTGGCAATTCTTGCATCTAGATCATTCATATCCTTTTTCATGTTAAAAAGAATGAAAAGAATTTGGTCAAACTTGTTATTAATATCATTATTAGGATTATGAATGGAATCATTCACAGTCAGTTTAATAAACTCTTTTAGTGGTAGAGGTAGAAGGGTATTCTTATTTTTAATGACGTTAGAATAAGATTTTAAAGAACAATTGGATCGATTAGAATCCACAAACTTTCTAAAGCCAGCAAATTTATATTTGTTGTAGAGTCTTTGTATTGAATTGTTTTGAGTGGGTGTCTTTAGTTTAATAAGTTCTTCATTGTCATTTAATATAACTGATTTTTGTAAAAAGGGGCATTTCATAACAAGATGAGCTGGATATTCACATTTGTGACAGCTTTTAGCATCAGGAGAATACCACATTAGTTGATTATTACCAAAAGCAAAGTTTTGTTAAGTTGCACAATTGAGAGCTTCCTCATTTTCAAAGTGTAAGATAACAAAAGGACGAGGCTTATAGTTATTAGATCTTGAAATATAACTAGCTCTGGCTTTAGTTGCAAGAATTATATTATGAAGGTCTCTTGCAAAGATACCAAAAGGAAGACTTGTTAATTTGATGTGATATGTATTCCTATATTTAATTTCTTCTGGTGACAAAGTGCAAGGATTGACATGGACAGAATCATTCTGGACAAAATGACTCCACACTTAATAAAATAGCTCAATACATTTAGGGTTTTCGTAAGTAATATAGACATGTTGCTACATACCTCTTACTGTCATTTTAAAATCAGTAACAGTTCCATATTTGGCAAAAACTTGTTTGATATTAGCAGGTTTCATTTGTAAAGGAATATCAGTGACATAAATAGTTCTTTCGTTAAATTGTATATCAGCTTTGTATTGAGAGAAATCACATAAAGTGTCGATCTTAAGATCAGGAATGGTCATATGTAAAGCTGCAGCAGCTGCATCTGATGTCGCAAAGTAAACGATTACTGAACACGTCAAATTAACGCGACAAACAGAAACTCCTCTAAAATCATCATTTTGAGCAAAAACGTTATTGATAGCAAGAATAATTTTACTGTTATTCTTTTCTTTGGGTGTAAACTTGATATTACTAGTAACAGTGAAGGGAGCAGCTTTTGTAACAATGGTAAAATCTTTCAAATATTCTTCTATATCATCATCTTCAAGATATTCGTCAGGGTTCAAAAGTTTTGACCTATCTTTAGATGAAGAAGAGTTTTTAGGGATATTGTCGACTTTGTTGTTATTATTATTATTATTATTCGAAAGCGGAATAGCTGGTGAAATTTTATTAGGGGTAGCAATTTTGGATACATCAAAAAATCCAAACTCCATTATTTTTTCTGGTAATGAGCCAAAAACTTCTTGGATAATTTCTAAATCAAGGTTGGTAGGAATAGAAGTTGAGGTTGAAGAGGACGAAGGAGCTAATGTAGAACTAATAGCTTCCTTTGGGGCTTTTGGAACAACGTATAAAATTAACTTAGTATCACTATTTTTTTGTTTCACAGCACTTTTACGTGTCATAACTCTCTCGCGTAAGTAAGAAGGTGAGATAAAACAAAAGAAACCTTCTTTATACTGGGTTTATTAATTAATTTTTTGTTAAAAATGAACTTTTAAATTTTTTATTTTTCGTATGAAAATTTTGGTTTTGTAAAATAGAGGAGAGAGTTTTTTTTCTATTCAAATTTTTTTTTTTTTTTTTATTGATGTGGCTCTGCCAACTATTTTATTAAGATTTATAGATTTTTCCGAAGAAAATAAAAGAAATTACGAGTAATGAAAAACAAAACAAAATAAAACTATTCAATAATCTAGACTAAATGTTAATTACCTTCCGATAATAAAATATGTAAACATACCTATCCATCTAGGTTGACCTATCATCATCAATTCCATCCTTTAGATCCAAAGGAACTAGTCCAATGACTATTAAATTCATCAAGAAAAGAAAAAGAACATGTCAGAACTGATTTAAAAATCTGACCATTTATATCTATATGTAAGAACAAGTTAAATCCATAACTCCCAAGTATTAGTCAGAGTTATGCTATTATTGTAAGACAAATGTTTGCATTTCTTCTTCATGTTTTTTATGTCAGAAGTGATATTTTTCAATAATTTTTTGGCAATCATAAAAGAGCAGCGATATGACCAAATTTTAGTGAAAAGTCACTCATAAAGAGCAATGATTGCTTTTGTGAAAATCCTACAGTGCAAAACCTCTATACTCAAAAATTTATTATAGTAAAAGTAGTATCGATTAATATTAGCATAACATATGATACAAACATCTAACTTAAAAAATTTAACCAATAATAATGATAGATAAGTACTAGAACTTTTGGAATT